CCATCGCTGATCAGCTATAGGGGGCGCCGTAGCACCTCGGCGCCCACTGTGCCTAGTAGCAGCACTGCTAGAAAACAGCCAGTGCTGTGCGCATGGTTGCAACAGACGTTCGCCTTTGGCTGTCCGGTCGAAGTTAAGTTTATACTTACCAGCCTAGAGGTGACGGGCTTTTCTTGTACTTGTGCGGCGCGGATTCAAGCCTGCGTAGGGGCAGGGGGACCTTCGCAGTAGCATTAGCTCACACACGATTGGTGGTGATTACGCAGCAGCGAAGCGTCGGTACTGTGTACCGGCGTATTGCGGATGCCTTTCTTTTATCCTTCCATTCTTACCAACTAGCTGAGATTCCGAAGAGTCCAAACGACCTAATTTCGCACCCATATCCCCCTGCAGCAACAACGATCTGTGAATTGGTGAGTGTCCTTGACAGCACCAGAACTGCGGTCGGAAATTACAGACAAGCAGAGTTTAGTACTACTTCGTGAATCGAACTTAGTTGACGTCATCTAGCAGGCTACACCCAAACGGCTGCCCACGGGGATCCGATCACACATTGATGACTCGGCCGTCGAACTGAGAATGATGCTCACTATTAGCTGACCAAACGGAGCGAACTATCCCGCACGACGTTTCAACACTAAACCGTGCCAACAACGCAAATGGGTTTCACGAGTGGTGCACGGAAAGCCAACCAGATATGGAACACAAATGTGATACGAGTGGCTGGCAAATTCGCGCTGGTGCGGATTGAGTGAATGCGACCATTGTCTTGGTACGAAAAAACGACCAAATATGGCAACTTAGTCCCACTGAATACGTTCACGTGGGCGGAGGCCAGTACGTCGAAGATACAAGGATCATGGTTTTTACAGTTGGAAGGTATGGTTGACCATTAAGTAGAACCGTCTTTTTCATGAAACACATGCCATCTTCGGAGGCTTGACTTTTGGTTTTAGCGGTTGGATTGGACGCCAGGTAGAGTAGACCTTGGGCAGCTGTACTTCAAGCGAAGTAGCACAATACCCACCGCAGCTTTCCCACTGCTTGCCGCATCAACGGCTCCTGATGCTTGGAATCATTGGTGCTAGGACAAGTCGGGTATGGCTAATTCAACAACCGCGTTGAGGTCATTAATTTTGGTTTCTGATACGCAACACGTCAATACTCAAGGTATCCAACCTTCGTACGAGTCTTCGCTTATCCTTCCTGTTGTAAGCAGCTGACAAGTCGGCCCTTGTAAAGCTGCGTGGCGGCCGGTGCAAGATGTTGTTGAAATTTGATGAAATAGTCATGAGTATACTTGTTCTGAGGCCTAGTCAGGGTCCTTAACCGAAGCGTTTGGCTCACATGACTGTCCACAGGGCAGCTGGGAGATAGCATCGATTCGACTTTACAGACATGAACGCCATCCAATCTCCAACCGCTACCCTGGTGAACCAGGAGATTAAGTTTGTCTGACCTCTAACCATTGACCAAGCTGTAGTACTCGCGCTGAAGGAACGTGGTGAGTCGAAGAGGTAAGCAAACCGTCATATCACATCGAGGTCCGGTCTCATTACTACGGATTCCAACAGATTCACTGACTGATGTGGTGTTACTTGATAGTGCTGACAAGCTGATATCATGTCATCTCCATAGATGGCTGAGCTTCTGTAATGCCCCACAGATCTTGCTGATACACGGAACAACCTCTTCTGTGATGTTGCCACCAGAGATGACACCTACCAAGTTAAGTGAACCGATCAAACACTTCTAGTAGAATTTCGCTAATAGCTGTAATCAGTGATACATCATTCCAGTCGTGCGATAACACCTTGTACTCTGAAAGTGCAAAGCACATAAAGCGTACAGCCCTGCGCGTCAGTTTGTCCAGTAGTGCTTACGTGGCCGGTGCGTCAGAGCCGAGATGAATTATGTCGTCCACATACTCAAAGTTTCTCAGTCATTCACCTGGTAGAACTTCCACTCACGTAGAGCCTGAAATGACCAAGTCATTCCTGATCACAAAGCTGAAGAGGACAACCCTGGCGAACCCCACTTTTCGTAGGGGACTCTGGAGACAGCTTCCCCTAGATCTTTATCTAGCCTCGAAAGCCATTGTAGCGAGATTTCACGATGAAAAGGAGTTTCCATATACTCTCTTCACGACTAAACAATGTCACATGCTGGTGCGATCATCAGAGTCAAACGGGGAATCCGAGTCAAGGAAAACCACCATAGTCTATGTGTGTTTCTTCTCTACCACTTGCTGAAGACTAAATATATCCTCGATGCAACCACGATCAGAGCACAAACCAGCTTAGCTTTCAGTAATTCCGCTCCCACTCAGATCAGTAAGTCGTCAGAGAATGGTGCCAGTGAGCGGTTTGAAGGATTAGGAAGAACGCTAGTGCTTCGAAGATTTTCGTACAGTCTGTTGACCGTTTTTGAAGATGGGCACGATGGTTGACAGTCGCCAGTCTTAAGACAATTCTTCAGTGTCCCAACTCCTGTTAAATAGAGAAGCAAGCTCAGTCAAAACAAAAAGCCACTTCCATTATTCAGAAACAATGGAGGAGGAAGATTGTCGGGTCCAAGAGCCTTGTTTCGTCTCAATACGGCTAGCTGATATGTAATCTCTTCTGAAGTGAGAGGTGTGACATTAGCTTCAGACATGGGCTAAATTGATTCGACAAGTGGCACTGTCGCAACAGGCCTGCTGAACTGTTCCACAATGTTCCGCCCAACAGGCTGGTCGATGAGGCTGAGAATGCGTTAACCATTTACCATTCACAGCTGTTGTTCCACTAATGGATAGTTTTCTCCGACCCGTATTCCGGATGAACTGGAACAGCACTTAGTTGCTCTCGATACTACCGGCCTTCTTCGTCTCATGAACCTTTGTCACCCAACAACGTTCCCGGTCGATTCGAAGACTCATTGTTAGTTGTAGTTTCATGGCGTTACGAACAGGTTGAAAATCAGTACGCATTGGAACCTGTTTCCGTGCTTCGAACGAACTTATCGATGCCTCAGGGATCCATACATAGTTCGGACGCCTCAAATTGGGTTCACAGCAGGCGACAAAGCACTCTACACTGCACACTTGAGACGATTTTAGTCAACGATATGCTTACCCACCTCATTCATCACTAACAACTGGTGGGTTAGTTCGCCACGATATTGCTGAACTGCAGACTGCAAATTCAAACGGCGAGTGAAAAGCTTAGGAAAAAGCTTTTTTGAAGCGAGTGAATGAGTATCCGGCGTGCATGCACTGGAGCATGCTCGGGATCTAGGCACTTGCTCCAAATTGATCGACAATTCTGGACTGGGAGGCATGAACGTCTCAGATAGTCTTGGACCGGTGTGCGCCATATATAGCTAATTGCAATATGGTCCATCTGTGCTCGGGTTCTTTAGGAATTCAGTAGACACCAAGTGACGCGATGTGAACGCTTGTGCTGGAAAGCAGTGCTGCTAATATGAAGGTTGTGGTCGGCGCACAGTTGCAGGAATCCATCACCATTGTGTATACTGTGTGCAATTATCCCTGAACGAGCGATAATTCACAATGCAATGCCGCCACCTATCGTTTTATGGCAACATGCTCTATTTGGGTCCATCTCTGGCCGTCTATGTAGGTGGGGGCACCCATTGTGCTAAGAAGTGATGCTGCGCGTACATTTACAACAGACACTGGCCATTGTCCTTACGGCATGAGTTACTGCCTCTGAGGAACTCAGACGACCTATTTGCGCATTCATATCCCCTGCAACGGAAACAACGATGTCCGGATAAGTAACACTGCGAAGCAGCCTGTTCAGTTCATCCTAGAATATGTCCTTGATAGCATCAGAACTGCAGTCGGTTGGGGCCTAAGAAAAAACCACGAAGAACCAACGTTTAGTACTCCTTCATGAACTAACCATATTTGATGTCATTAAACGGCCTGTACACAAGCAGCTGTTCATCGAAATCCAATCAACCAGTGCTAACTCAGCCCTGAAGCTGAGAACGATGCCCGCCCCAACCTATCCATTGAATGCCTCATCGTGCACAGCAGTCGAATTTGCTTTAGCTCAGACACCTGATGCGTAATTCTGACCACTAGCTAATGTGGGCGCTGTGTTTTGATTTCCGAATCTAGAATCAGTTGGGTTTTTGAATAACCTTTTCTCACTTAGCAGAGGAAACGATTTGCAACTTTTTTGATTACGTTCTGTTAGTGTTTCTTGCCTCACAGTTTTATAGTAATAGTGACCCATTTTTTCCTTGGCTAGAAACACTGCGTTTTATAACATTTTCCATCCGCGTGTCATCCATTCTTATGTATGCTATGTTTAGTACTTAGTTACTTATGGGGTAGATCTGAGTGTGAAGCGGGACGACGAAGGTTGCGCTCTAGCTTTATACCAATTTTGCTTCTTATTAACAAGATGATCACCTGTTTGGAACGTTGCGCTATTGGAAAGTGTTTATTGTTTGCTACTAATGTTTTTAGTACAGTTCGGCCCCGTTTCAGGCCTTTGTCCATCTCTCATTTTATCCCCGATAACTGCTGTCGTCTCGCTTAATTAATTACGGCTCCTTTTTAAGGGCTGATAAAAAGTATCAAGTTTCTGTTACTGCTATTGTCAGTCTTGGTGAGAATTTCTTACATTGGTCTGTGCCAGGATAAAAAGTTAAGTTCTCAAGCAGCAACATCCAGATCTTCTCCTGTTGACTATCCTACTACTTTCATGTCGCTCCATCGAACACGATCTTCTGACCGATCAACACATCATGAAGTTTGACGTGACTAATTTTTCCCCAAATATTTCTAGCTACAATCCATCTTTGTCACGCATGCGACATAACCGTTGGTGCGCAACATTGCACACCCATTCAGCTACCGGGTTTGTTTTCCACGAACCTATCACGTATGGTTTACAGGCTTCATTTTTATCCTGGAGCACTCCCTTGCCATCCGCTCACTTTTCTGATCTCTAGCCTAAACTTCATTTAATGTTTGTTTTCAGAGGGTTCTTTGGCCTCACAAAAATCAACAAGCAATGGCAGGTTGTGGACGAACATGGAGATGTTGTTGATCAAGATGACAACTCAAGTACTAGTGAGTTTCGAAGCACAAATCCCAAGCATGCCACTTTATTTTCGACTCAGTTATGTTTGGACTTTTTGACAGCTCCTTGCTATTTTTGTTTTATTGCAACTGTATTTGCCACTAATTTTTTAAAGATATTCTGCCCACGAACTAGCCTGCTATTCGTTTTACTGCTACGATGGTATATACTTATATGTTTCTCGGATCACAGTTGTAAAACTGTACTGAACTGTTGCTCTTCTCAAGGTCACATTCCAATTTGCGCAGTCGCGTCGCAGTCAGAACATTAAGAGAGTTGTAAGATGCAAACCTGAACCACGAGCGGTTGTGTCGGCTTTGACCTTGTACTTTACTGTTCTAGCAGCTGTTGCCAGACAACCTCGCTGGTTTGTTATGAGGAATTCTACCTTATCACCAGTGCCCACATTTATGCTGACTCCAGCATTCCATTAACCCCAACGAGAGAAGCTTTCCGAACCAGTTTACCGACATCACCCCGACAATCACTGAATACTCATTACTGTGTGGGAGAAAGTAGAAATTTAATTCTGTACAACTCCATCGCATTATAATCAAAAATTTTATAAAGTGTGTGCAATCCGTGATAATCTAATCGTTCTTCAAGTTCTTATGTATCATTTTAAATGTCCGACTTAAATTTTCATTGCGTTCACAAATACAATGTGCCATTGCTAGTGTGCAATCGTTCTCTGAATCGAAAGGCGGTGAAGTGTAAAACCAACAGCATTTTGGACTGCTGTACTGATGTAGCCTCCACGACTTGTTCTGACAGACTGCTCGAGACATTTACCGCTCTTCGTTCAAAGCACAATGGGGGGGGGTAGTCGTTTTCTCTCTGACACCACAACTTTGTACCGGTCTCCGCGTGTGTTGCATGACGTTCACAAGTGAAGCAGCGGCCTCAACATGGGGAAGTTACCGATATGTAATATACAGTAGCTCATTATGAGCTCGACTCGCACCTGATGATAGGACAAGGTGTAGAGTCCTAGTTTTTCGCTCCGGTCTTCTTATGATAATTCTCGTAAACTGGTAGTGACCTGTTGCACCTGTTCGGTCTTCTGTGCTTCGCCTCGGGTGATTGGGAAGTAGGCAGGTGAACTGTACTCCAGTATTGGTTTTATGATGAAGGAGAAGAGGCGAGTGGCGACCTCTCCATACCAAATACAACATCAGCTGTACTATTGAGCATTTCCAGTCGCTCGATTGTGAACCTTCGGATAGTGATCTGTTTAACAAGTCAGTCACAGCAGGTGAGATGATGACTGATAGGGACTTGTGAATCAGTTGGTGGAGTCCGTTATGAGTAGCAGGTTTGGTGCCGTCAAGCTTGGCGAGTAGTTGACGCACCTCTTCAACAATTCAAACCAGAATGTCAAGTTCGGTAAGCGCGGTAAACGTCGAACTCGGTACAGACGACTGCTCATTTGCAAACATGGAAGCGAAGTGCTTCGTCAAGGCGGACGTGTACTTGGTGCTGGAGGCTGGGGGCTGTCCATCCGAGCCCTCTAGCACTGGCAGATCAACTGCCAGCTTGAGACGAGGTTTCATGTAAGCGAATGTTCTTTTCAGAGGTCTTTGCGACGGTTGCGAGCTGCTTTCCAAAATGTTGACGCTTGCTCCTTCTTGCACTATTGCAACTATTTCCTTGTTTTTTATACACCTCGTATTCATTAGAAGAGCTGGAGAGGAGGAGTTTGTCCCACACTTTTCGCCACCGCCGATCCGTTTTGTCATGCCCTTTGTTGAACCAATGCGGCTTGACTGGCCCAGTTTCCTCACAATTCAATGGTACAATCGGAGAAAACAGTAGTGTCAGTTTTTCTCTAATAACGATCCAACAGTCCTCCACAGATGCAGTTTGCGGCAGAGATCAGTCTACTTGGCTCGCGGCTTGAGTTCGACCGTCGAAGTTACTTTCCCATTAGTTGTAAGCTGGCTCCAGCGGACGGGAATACGGCGCAGATGGATTCATACTGGCTATGAGCCTTGAGTGATCGCGTGTTACTAGGACCTCTAGGACTAGAACGTTATGCACATGTTCGCAGCTTGTTGACACCAAGTCTGCGTACGACGGAATTAAGCGCGGGGTTATTTGAGTCGGCAAGTAATAAGTTCGCGAACTTTGTTTCGATCTCCAAATATCCGGGCATGAGTTCAACTTCAAGCCAGGACAATTAATATCACCCATGAGTAAAATATGGTGACGACTCATTGGCTTCGAAGCTGCGGCAACCAGTTCAAACTACTGCTCAGGAGACTGCGATAAAATGCACTCACCAACAGCTTCACGCGTCTGCGGTGGATCAAACACCACAGTTGCTCACACCAAGCATCATCGCTTCTGTAGACGGTCACAACTCCCACGCAGGGATGATCGGATGTAGAGCAAGACGCCACCGCGGGCAGTCGATAGTCTATCTCAGCAGAAGCGTGAGTAGCCACTGAGTTCAATTTCCTCACCTTCACCTCAGAATTCAGCCACATCTGTGCGAGCCGCATTACGTCTGACCGCTCACATGTAACGAAAAGACAGAGTTCTTCGCGCTTGTTTATAAAACTACAAATGTTGGTAAAGGCTGCACGCAGGCCGCAGCAGAAACCACCGGGTGTGCTTGAAGTGTGAGCAATCTGTTTATCCTGATTCGTGGAATCTCAGAAACGATCCAAAAGTTTACGATACGGTGATTTGTTTCCCCATCACCGTCTCTTCAACATAATGATGGCAGACTTGAGTCGTTCTCGATCCACCGAATCTAAGTCTGGACGAACATGGGGCGTCATTCATGGCGCTTCATTCAACCTATTTAATCGGGACAAGATAAGTCCCAGAATGACTTCGTCCACAATGGTGTTTCTCATTGGTCGACTTTGTTGATCACCTTTCTTTCCAAGACGGGTAATTTGCCTCACTTTCAACCCGTCATCCCCCACATAGAGGAGCCTGTCAATTAGGCTCTGTAAAAACTCGACGTCATGATCGTAACGTATTTGGGGAGTTGGATCAATGGACCAAGCGCGTGGAAGATCACAAGGTTATACCGCCTCTGGTTGGCCAACGTTGACCTTGAAAAACGAGGGTTTTCTCGCGTTTCACGTGCTCTAGCCTGCCGTGATTTGCAGCGGCTGAACTCTTCATTTTTCTGACTTTTCTTTCCTTGTACTTTCCACGTGCCTTCAGTACACAGATCTTCACACCGGGACATCTGTGCATGTAGGATACAACACAGGTAAAATATTCGTGTCAGGTGTAAATGGACTGCTAGCAACTGCGGGACTTCATGCCGGTGAGTTCCCACGGGACGAACAGGAAAGCTTATCTGAAACCTGGAGGCGCTTCGGGTTAGCTTGTTGGGCCAAACACACGGAGCTGCTCTCAACGGAGTGATTCATTTTCCCAGACAGTTTGTGATTATGCCCTACTTTCTCTGGCTGTAGCTTGTTTCGGCAATTCTTACACAAAATTTGAACTAAATCATGTTGGATTTCACGAAAACGCCGAAAATGCCCAACTGATAGTCCAATGCATGAAATGTGGAATCTAACGTGACACCTAACGCGTGAATTCATTTGTTCGACTTCCGATAAACCTGGAACGGACATTGCAAGGTGATTGGTTCGGCATTCTGGAAAATCGGAGACCGAGCTGGCGACCAATCATGGAGCGCAAAGCGATTGTTAGATCTCTGAAGCTAGACGGAGGTAACACAAGTACTTATGATCAGAAATCCGTACTCAGAAATGAAACTAAATGCTATTGTACTTTCCACGAAATAATTCCATTGTTAACACAGCCAGGAAAAATCAACGGTGGTCGCTTACCACCGTCACCAGGTTCTAAATGGCCATAGATAATTGAGCTTATTGGTTATATTGGTCAAACATTTTCTTGCGAGGGTTTTCTAGAACTGAAAACATGACATTTACTTTCGTAACGCAGTCGACATACGTGTGACTGCCATTCGATCCATCCGTGAATAGGATCCAAGGGAGACTAGTTAGTGGCTGTTTTTTTATTCCCGAGGTAACATCTCAACTTGGCAGTGTGTACTAGCACCGGTTATACTCTGTGCTTCATTGGTGATACGGTGTCAATGACCAGGTCGGCATTGCACTCAGCAGAGAACTTAACGCAGTCTTCTCAAACACTTTCCGGTAAATACCAACATGTGTGCGGTGCAACTTCATGCCTCCCAGCCCGAGACTATCGATCAATATGGAGCACGTGCCTGGAGCCCGATCATGCTGGCTTGCCGGACTACCTTCTCCTAATGCCAGCTAGGTGGTTCGTGTGTACACCGTTCCAGCGAACTGTTCAGCGGCCGTGTTCCACCTCAGTGGGCATTGTGCTCCAGCAATTGTGCTGATTTCATAGGGAGAATTGGCCCCCATTTGGTAACCTACCAAACAAAAGACGTATGAACTGCACATTCAGTCAGCGACTCCTAATGGGCTCGATTCCCAAAATTCGCCCCGCTGTTTTGCGAGTAGGCTATTTAGCCAAAGACTCGGGGTGGTGTCCCCTAAGACAACTCCCTACTTCTGGGTGGGCGTCCTCGTGGTATACTCAGCCGGCGTGCGACTGGTGGTGGTCACACGACATCGAAGCGCCGTTACGGCGCACAACTGACACATTATCATTGTTTTATCTACTTCGGCTTCGGCAACCGGGTAGTATCACGCCCACTAACAAAACCATCGGTTGTTCATCTGCTATACCGCGCTCAGCTGCCTTAACTTCCACCTGCACACCTTATCCACGCGCCACCCGTTCACTCGTTACCAATCACTGTTATCCGTTACCAGCTGATCCCTGTTTCCATGATGCCACTCCTGATGGTTTCGTCGACACCAACAGAGTTCGTCCAGTAGCCCTCCTTCAGCCTCGGTTCTCATCCTGCCTGGCATGCTTCAGTGTATGTACACTCATGCAGATCGGCCAGCAGACTGGACTTGCGCGCATCTTGGAGTCCCTTGCCATCGATGTT